GGACACATGTCAATGCATTATTTTTGAATAAGTGTGAATGACTTTATAATTTATGTCATCCGATTACTCCATAAATGAAAATAAATGAATAAATAATCATTTTCGATGCTATTCCAGATTGTTTAATAATTTAGTATGTTTTTCATCCTTACATATTTAATTATCATTTTAAGACCACCAACAAATGTCCATGGTTAATTTTGGTCCAATGTACAACTAAATGATAAATAGATCAACGTGCTGATTTATTTATTTATTTAAAAATAAAAAAATTAAGTGGACAAAAACTAAAAAGTTTAAAAATATGTGGACAAAATTCAAAACCACGTATTTTGAGAATACGTTTTTATTTTAAAAACGTATTTTGAGAATACGTTTTATAAAGTAAAACGTAATACGTTTTACTGTAAAATCTCAAATTATAGAATAAAACGTATTCACATAGTACGTTTTATAAATAATTAAGAAATAAAACGTATTTTGATAATACATTTTATATTTTGAAATTAATGAATAAAAAATTAATATATAGTATGCGTTTTGTGTTTTGGGCTCGTCTGAACTCGGAATTGAGTTCTGTTTTTTCCTATACGTAGCTACCGGACACCTCTATTCAATGATGCATACATGACCAAATTATTCTTGAAATCATATTCTCCCAAAGCTCTTGACCTACACATTAAACGTGTTTCGCGCGACTTTGCTTTTGGGGCCCGTTCGGACTCGTCCAAACTCGAAATTGATTTCCGCTTCTTTCTATATGTCGCCAACGAACCCATCTACACAATCATGATTTCCTGGTCAATTTCGGGCTAAATAATTAACAAATCATCCATTGATTTGTCAATTATTTAGCCCCGTGAGGAATAGATTTAACTCGAAAATTGACCGGACAATCATGATTGTGTAGATAGGTTCGTTGGCGGCATATAGGAAGAAGCGGAAATCAATTTCGAGCTTGGACGAGTCCGAACGGGCCTAAAAAGCAAAGTCGCGCGAAACACATTTAATGTGTAGGTCAAGAGCTTTGGGAGAATATGATTTTAAGAATAATTTGGTCATGCATGCATCATTGAATAGAGAGGTTCGTTAGCCACGTATAGGAAAAAACGGAACTCAATTCCGAACGGGCGTTGTTGTCGTTCGCGGTCACGACGTCTTCTACATTCACCAATGTTGGCAGGGGGTTGATGCCTCGCCTCTGTGACTGTGTTTTTTGGGATTGGACGTAGTCCTCCTCGGATAGAACTTGACTAAATGACGCTCCTTGTGTGACCTCTTGGCCTCCAACAGTCAGAGAACTATAGGCAATGTTGTAGAACTGTTGGTCAGATAGGCAATGTTGTAGGACTATTGGAATGCGGCCTGCGACCGTGGAGGAAATGTAGGAAATATGTCTTGAATATTCGCTAACGAGTTATAAACCCCCTCTAGGACTTGAGTCTGAAAATAAAATTCAAAGTAATTAGTATGAAACACAAAAAAAAAATAATAATAATAATAAAAATACCACAAATTATAAACACTTACATCGCACTTCTCCCGCTCGGCAACTGTCTGATAGTCGCCATCCTGTTGGACCACCGTGTACTTGGTAGGGTCACTGATAAGTTTTAAAGTCCTAGTGTAAAACCAATCAATGTAACCCTACTCACCCTGTAGAAAGTGATCCACAGAGGCATCTTGGAGGACATTTTGTTCTCTTTCATCGACTTAGCCCATGGTAAGCTGTGAATTAAAGACGGCCCGATCACGAAATGCCCTCCCAGTCATTCCGCGGCCTCTGTGGTGTGTCTCTCATTCTTGCTCACCACTAATCATCGGATTTTGGGGGATGGATTGCTGACATCCAAAGTGACAGAGAACCTTATCAGACAAGTGGACTTCACGTATGTTCCAACAGAAGATCCACCCCCTATACATCCAAATATGTTGATCTTCTGTGCACTCATCCGGGAGAGTACCTATAGTTCTCTGACTGTTGGAGGCTAAGAGGTCACACAAGGGGCATCGTTCAGTCAAGTTCTATCCGAGGATTACTATGTCCCATCCCAGAGTACACAGTCACACACGGCGAGGCATCAACCCGCTGCCAACATTGGTGGAGGTAGAAGACGTCGTGACTGCGAACGACAACAACACCCGTTCGGACTCGTCTAAACTCAGAATTGAGTTTCATTTTTTTCTATACATAGCTAACGAACCCCTCTATTCAATGATGCATACATGACCAAATTATTCTTGAAATCATATTCTCTCAAAGCTCTTGACTTACACATTAAACGTATTTCGCGCGACTTTGTTTACTGGGCCCGTTCGGACTCGTCCAAGCTCGTAGTTGAGTTCCGTTTCTTCCTATATGTCGGCAACGAACCCGCCTACACAATCATGATTGCCCGATCAATTTTTGGGTTAAATCTATTCCTCACGGGGCTAAATAATTAACAAATCCTCCATGGACCATCTATTTATATAATGGGTGATTTGTCAATTATTTAGCTCGTGAGAAATAGATTTAGACCGAAAATTGACCAGAAAATCATGGTTGTGTAGAATGGTTCCTTGGCGACATATAGGAAGAAGCGGAAATCAATTTTGAGCTTGGACGAGTTCGAACGGGCCCAAAAAGGAAAGTCGTGCGAAACACATTTAATGTATCGGTCAAGAACTTTGGGAGAATATGATTTCAAGAATAATTTGGCCATGCAAGCATCATTGAATAGAGGGGTTCGTTAGCTACGTAGGAAGAAACGGAACTCAATTCCGAATTCAGACGAGCCCAAACGAGCTCAAAACACAAAATACATACCACATATTAATTTTTTTTTCATTAATTTTAAAATATAAAACATATTATCAATATACGTTTTATTTCTTAATTATTTATGATACTACGTTTTATTTCTTAATTATTTATTAAATGTATTATCAATATACGTTTTATTTATTAATTTTTTTACTGTTTTTTCAATTATTTAAAAAAATAACATTTTACAAATATAATTTAAAACGTATTATGTAATACGTTTTTAAAAAAAAAAGTTAATTAAAAAAACGTATTATGAGAATACATGCTTTTTATTTTTATCCACAATTTTTTTTTCTTTTTATTTTTGTCTAATTATTTTTTTTTTTTATATGTATATAAACTACCCTCAACGTGCTAGTATAACTAATATCGATTATTAAAAGTTTATATTTCATAACATAATAACGTACTAATGGACTTGTTGTAGAGTTGATGTAGATTTATTTATTTTTATAATACATGTAAATAAATAAACAAAACTATAAAAGTTAATTTATTGTTGTACAAAATGAATATATAACAACTATTTTTAAAACCATTATTAGAAATAGTTAGAAAATCATTATATTTTCTTATTAATCTGTTATGGAAACTTATTTTAGTTATAGTGGTCCCATCATATTTGAACTTATTATACGCGTCAATGTTGAATTTCTATCCACTTAATTTTGTTTTTATTTTTGCTACATATAATCACGTTAAAACACATAAATGATAAAATTTTGGAAAATGCTCTCATGAAAAATAAAAATCAATCAATTGTCCACGTGCTAGAAGCATAGAGGATGGAAGCTCATAACATGGAAAACCCATGCAAATGTAAAAGTCACTATTCTACATTGACATTGATCTTGTGTGTTTTTTCCACCTCCAAGCATATTTTATTTTCCAACTTTTGGTTAGCTAGTGATTCTGCAAATTGTAATAGGCTTACTTTGAAATTAACAACACTAGCCCATGGCCAATGTTTTTTTAAACATATTTATCTATAGGAATTGGAAATATTTTTCATCTTAATTAATAAAAGAATCTTAAATGAAGGACAAAAAAGACAGATCTCATAACTAGAGTTGTTATAAACAAGTTGCTCATGAGCTCCACAAGGTAGCTCAATCTCGTTTAGTTAACGAGCATAATTCGATTTGGCTCGTTAAGTTTATCAAATGGCATTTTTAAGTAATTTCATAAATGTTTAACGTTATTTAAATTATTAATGTTTGTTATTTATTAATGATCTAAGCTCGAGTTTTTTTTATCAGATCATTAACTGAGGTTGATTCAATAGACAATCTAGCTCAAATTCGAACTCAACTCAGATCTCGGATCGTTTATAGTTGTACTCATAAATTATTGGTATGATGGAATGACGTAGGAATGGAATGATCATTCCTTTACTCATTCTTTATCCCATGATTGATATATTTTTTGGGAAGGAATGACCATTCCAATGAGAATGGCAAAACCCATCTCCGTGGGATTAACCATTCCATAGTAAATGGAGAGTTTTCTCATTCCCATGTGTGTAGGAATCAATTTTTCAAAAAATAAAATTAACAAATAATAATAAAAAATAAATATACAATATATATTATAAATCATGATTAAAATATATTAAATAAAATTATTTTAAACAAAAATTCAAATAAAAAAATTGAAAACTTACTTTTATTTATTTTTTAATTAGATATATTAAATACTTAGATAAAAATAAAACTAAAAAAAGTATTTATATATAATTTAAAAATATATTATTTTATTTTTATATATTATTAAAAATATATTATTTTTATATTATTAAACAATATATTATTCTATTTTTATATATTATTTAAAATATATTATTTTATTTTTATATATTATTAAAAAAGAATTTATATATAATTTATTAAAAGTATACTATTTTTTTAAAAAAAACTTTTTATTTATTTTTATAATAAAAAATAATAATGTCATTCCATTCTAGTCCTATTCCTTCTGCATACCAAACGCATGAATGACAAAACATGTTTCATTCCATTCCCATAATCATTTCATTCTTCAATTCATTCCATTCCTATGAAATTCCATTCCAACGAAATCCATTCCATCATACCAATCATGTCATACCGCTTTACAAAACCCAAGTGAAATTATTGGTATATACTATATAATCACATATTTAATTAAATGTCTCTATCTATAGTCTTTATATCTTCTCTTTCCCATGTCCTCCCATTTTGTACATGTGTTACTTTTTCAGTTTCCACTTTCTCTCTCTAAAGATTTTCTCTGTGGAGCCTGAAAACTGGTCCTCTGCTTTGCTGGCTTTCAAGCTCTCCATTGCTGGTTTTTAATGGGTTTTGTCTGCTGAGAGATACCCAAATTTCAGTTGCCCCAATCAAACCCGGTGATAGTAAACAGTAGAACCTCTCTCTCTCTCTCTGTCTCTCTCTCTCTCTCTGTCATTGATTTGATAATTCATTTTTTACTCACAGTTACCTACTTATCTGTTTCTCACTATATTATTTGCCCCTTTTTTCCAAGTCATTTTTTTTCCTCATCTATCAGTATTCACCATCTTCTTTGTTCTTGCAAATTACTCTCCAAGGAAAGCGAGGTAAGCTGAAAGGGGAAGAAAGTAGAAACCACTTCAAAAGTTCTGATTTTTCTTCTTTTTCAACTTCTGTTTTGCTGCGTTTTTAAAAAAATTTCCTTTTATTATGGATCCACAGATCTAAACCTCTTTCATTTTCACATCTTTCATCTGCTTTATATACTCCAGAGGTAACTACAAATATTGCAGCATATATATTTTTGAATCCCCTACAATTTTCCCTTTAAGTTGCTTGTATTTGGAAATTTGCATTTTTTGGGTTGGGGTTCGATTTGGGGGAATTGAATACTCTTAAATTTTTGAACGCCGATTAAACCAGTACCGGAAGAAAAATTGATTTTGACCGCTCCGATTTTCAAACTCTCTTCAAAAATTCTTCTTTTTTCCCTCCGTGTTGACATCAATTCATTTATGGCATATGTCTTTATTTTTATTTTTATTTTTTGCGGCGCTTGTTTCTGCAAGTATTTTACTGTGTAATATGTTTTCACATTAAAAACCCTTGCTTCTTATCTGTGATGATTTTTGTTCGNGCTAGACTCCAAGTGCCATAGTTGCTGCTTTCAAATTTGGGAAGAAGCAGTTGATATAGACAATCAAAGCTTCTGAAATTCTCTCTTTGTTTTTTCCGAAAGTTCCCTTTGGCGTGCTCATGAGATGTTGATATTTTGGTGGGTGGATTAGATGAGATGAGGGATGTTATCTGGGTTGATGAACTTTTTATGGGCCTGTTTTCGGCCGAGAGGAGATCAGTATATTCACAATGGCTCGGATTCTACTGCCCGTCAAGACGGGCTTTTGTGGTACAAGGACTCGGGCCAACATTTTAATGGTGATTTCTCGATGGCTGTAGTTCAGGCGAATAATTTACTCGAGGATCAAACTCAACTCGAGTCTGGTTGTTTGAGCACGAGCGATTTAGGGCCTTACGGTACTTTTATCGGGGTTTATGATGGACATGGAGGTCCCGAGACCTCGAGGTTCATCAACGATAATCTCTTCCAACATCTTAAGAGTAAGTCTTTTNGAGTAAAGGGAGGAAAAGGGTTACTTGAGATATATTGTGGTGGTGTTTAAAAGTTATGTGCAATTATTAGCATCTTTTAATATGGGCGTTTGTTCGTTTGTGGGACTTCTTATTTTGCCGGTGTTCTGTTTTGTTTAGCCTTTGATTTTGAGTGTTTGCAGGGATTTTTTGCATTCACAGAAAGTGATTTATTGTGGCACCAGTGTAAGTTAGTTGGTCATCATACATTTGTAACCTCTGAAAATTAGAAATTTGAAATTGACCAAGTGAAGTTCTCAATTTGCAAAATAAAAAGTCTAAATAATAAATAAATACCTCTTCCATAGCTTTAGGTTCTGATTTTATTAGAATGAATCATAATCACAGGACAGCTTTTCAGAAGCATCAAACTACTGCAAAGAGACTGATAACTAGTGTCTTCTTAAGTTAACAAGAGACTGTTTTGTGAATATGTTAGTTAACTTTCTTGTAAGTGCAGTATTCAAACTTCAAAGCATATGCAGAGCAGAACAACAAATCAACTTACCCCTTTTCGCCTCAGTTTTAGGTTCTTAAATTAGGGCAAATCAGTTGCAGTTAGGCCATGCTTGTTTATAAAAAACTAGAAAAAAATTGGTATTTTTTTTTGTGGTAACTAGAGTTTATTTGAAAAAAGTTCGTATAATTTGTTGCTAGTAGGAATTTAAGAATGTCTTAAAATAATATTGAAAATAAAATGGTTAAAATTGATTTGATGTAAAAGTAGGAGATAAATGATTGAAAATGATAGGTAGTTGAAATCATGTGAGTGGATGAATAGTGAATTAAAGCTGATGTAATGTGTAAAAATGATTGATTGATATTATTTAGTTATATTGATAATATTGNTTGAACGTTATAAACTACACCACACTCACATTCATATATATAACCACTCAAATTGGTTGTATTTTCGAGCAGACTTCACGGCCGAGCATCAATCTATGTCAGTAGAAGTCATCCGAAAGGCATTTCAAGCAACAGAAAACGGGTTCTTCTCTGTTGTCAGCAGGCAATGGCCCTTAAAGCCGCAAATTGCAGCCGTTGGATCTTGCTGCCTTGCTGGCGTTATCTGCAGTGGGACCCTTTATGTGGCCAACTTGGGAGACTCACGAGCTGTCCTTGGGAGGCTCGTCAAGTCAACAGGCGAAGTAATTGCCCTCCAGCTGTCAGCCGAGCATAATGCTAGCTTCGAGTCCGTAAGGCAGGAGCTTCAGTCTTTGCACCCCGACGATTCGCAGATTGTGGTTCTAAGGCATAATGTGTGGCGAGTCAAGGGGCTTATACAGGTTAGTTGTTAGTATGATTTTGAGTTTATATTAAAACAATATTTTAAAATTAAAATAATTAAAGTTGATTTGATGTAAAAGTAGAAGAGAGATGATGTGAAGTGATGGTTAGTTAAAATTATGTGAGTGGATGAATAGTGAATTGAAGTTGATGTGATGCGTAAGAATGATTGGTTGATTGATATTATTTAATTATATCGATAATATTGAAGGTGAGTTAAAGTTGAGTTAGATTTTGAGTATGGATTTGAGAAAATTTATAAACAAACACACCCTTAGGCATTCTTGAATATGTTGGATCATGAGAAAAGCAACATTTGCTTATGCTGTTGGTGTATGTGTGTGTGTGTGTGTGGTGAATAATTAAGGTGATTTGGTTGTGATTTCTCGATATTGAATGGAGTAAAGCATGGTTGACTTGTTGTGATTTTCTAGTTTGTGTTATTAATAATTGCTATATTTTTTTTAGTTTCTATTCAAAATTTGTTTGCCAAATTGCAAATACCACTTTTTATGTACAATTTTATCATGCGATTGCGCTCCATGGTTATTGGGGAGATAATTTGACCTCCTTCAGTTTAATGGAGGAGAATTGAGGAAAAAAAACATATAGAGCTATTCATTCATTTCCTTACAAGGTGGAATTCATCATCACTTTTTGTTTTTTTTCATGGTTTTATCTTTTTAATATGAAAAAAAAAAATAATAAACGATAAATGCCGAGTTGATATGAGATATTGTTTGCAGATCTCGAGATCAATTGGGGACGTGTATTTGAAAAAGCCCGAATACAACAGGGAGCCTCTGTACCAGAAATTCAGACTTCGCGAGCCTTTCAAAAGACCGATTTTGAGTGCAGAACCATCGATTACCGTGCACCCGATACTACCTCACGATCAGTTCATCATTTTTGCTTCAGACGGTCTTTGGGAGCATCTCACTAACCAAGAAGCCGTTGACTTAGTTCAAAACCATCCACGAAGTGTAAGATAACACGCTAGCGAAATTCTGTTTTAACTTGACTAAAATGCAAAAAAAATCTTACTGAGATTTTGCTTACAATTTGTGCAAGAACGAGCAACAACTCGTTACACCTTACTGGAAAACTTATAAGCTAGCTTATAGCTTATTTGATTAGCTTATAAGCTTCTTATATTCAAATAAGCTTCCTTTGGTAGTTTTTTCAAATAAGTCCATTGAATTTTTTATTTCAGATAATTTTACCAAACACTTTTTTTATCATATAAGCTAACTTTTCAATCACAAATCATAAGATATCAGCTATAAGCTCGAAATTCACTTAAAAGCTATAAGCTAGCCTATTAGCTACGTTTACCAAACATAGCCTAACTCTAATTCTTACTCGATCGACAGAAAATGATGAACTGTTGTTCACATTCACATTGAGGACACCAAACTTGCCTTCTCATTTTCTGATTTAGTAAAATGGAATTTTTTTATGTTTCTTTTATTTTATTTTATTTTTTTCCGAAAAATCGACAAGTTAGCAAACTAGAAAACTATATCATACTCAATCTCCTCGATTTGTGCAGGGTAGTGCCCGTAGACTAGTGAAAGCAGCCTTACAAGTGGCGGCCAAGAAGAGGGAAATGAGGTACTCAGACCTCAAGAAAATCGATCGTGGGGTCCGCCGTCATTTTCACGATGACATCACAGTTGTTGTCGTTTTTCTCGACTCGCATCTCGTTATCCGAGCCAGCTCAAACCGATGCCCCAACATTTCGGTCAAAGGCCCAACCGAACCAATCTTGACCTGAAAATCTATAGTTTTTCATAATTCGACCTGTTGTACTTACTGCTTCTTCACATGTGTGAATACAGGTAACTTTTTTATTCTCCCGAGTATAAAAAGGGGAACCGTGATTCGTGCCCCCCCTTCGAATTCTTTTCTAAGATGTACACTGTAATAACCTTCTTCTTCTTCTTCTTCTTCTTCTTCTTCTTTTTTTTAACCAAAGACTAATGTGTACTGTACTCGCCTTTCGTTTACAATGCCAAAATGAGGCTGAGAAAAAATGGTAGCGTATTTTGCGCTTATTATGGGAAGATTGTTCGATTTGGCGCATGTTTATCTTGCAGATTTTTTGGGACACGTTCACAGTTTCACTTTGTCTTGATCTTCTTTTTGTAATTATGTTTAATAGTGTTGTTTTTTTTCACCTGAGATTTTCTGGTAAATTTTTTATACATGCAAGATGTTATGATGAGAGCTGCAAACTGATTATTGAGAGCTGCAAACTGATTATTCTAGTCAAAATTTGCATAACAAATTATGGTCTTTATTTTCATTTGTATTTTAATCACAATTTATATGTTTTGGTAATCTTAAGGCAAGACGTCCTAATTGAAACTTCGACTAATGTGTATGACAATATCTTTAAGATGTAATGCACTATAAATAAAATTAATTTCATCATATAATATATGAAATAACAAATAGAAATTTTGAAGCTTAAGTCAGGTGAGTTTTAGGATTTGGGGTTGCGACTGAGTCGAGCTTTCGAACGGTGATTCTAATTGGAGCTTTTTATCTCAATTGATGAGGTGGCTCGAGCTTTCGAATGATAATTCTAATCCGAGCTTTTTATCTCAATTGATGCGGTGGCTCGAGGAAACAAGACAAACAGTGATTGTATTTTTTTTTTTTAATTTTTGTTTTTGTTTAAATTATTACATTTTCTTCGTTTAGTTGCAGGCACTTGCACGAGACCAAAGTTGTCTCTCCATTTATTTGTTTGTTCGTTATTTTCCAAACGGAAAAATGATTTGTTTTAATTTGTCTAAAAATCAGAAGGTTGTGTTTAAAATTTAAATCATAATTGGAATTCAAGATTATAATTTGTTTTGCAAATAACTGAATTACTCTGACGTGACATAATTTGTAATTTGCTAGCTATTAATAGTCATCGACTTCTGAGAAATTCGACGAAGCAAATGCAACGTAGGAATTTGGTTCGACGGTAATTTAGAATGAATGAATTGCCCTTGCTTGAATTCTTTTAGACCATTTGTAACGTAGCTTTTGACATTATAAAAATCATCTATATCATCAATTTTTGAAAGTGTGTTACTAATTTATTTTTCAATACATCTTGTCATGAATTCTTTCATGATGAAGGAGATGACATTTAATGTTGACAATGTTGAGTCCACTTTATAATATCTAGCACCATGTTAAACACGATGACTCGTCAATTTATTTTATATTTGATTTAATTTTTTATTGTTCTTGTATTAATGATTATTTTAATTGGCCTACGGTCTATCTATACAAATAACTTCTTATCAATTGATGCATTGGAGATACTAGTTTGATTGAGATTTATAGTCTTTTAACATTATTCTTACGTGGATTTACATTACAATCATTGATTGACATGTGTTAAAAACATTGTTTTTCAAGCCTATGACTTTTGAGATGCTCTTATTTGTGAATGAAAACTATTATCAATCAGGTCGAAGGAGAGAATGGGAAATTTGGGTGTGTGTGATCCGACGACTCGAAACTCAACTGAATTATCCAAATCAGAGTAAATTTTCACACATAAAATCAAATCACAGTTCACACATAAAACCACATGTCCAGCTGTCCTCGCCAGTTCAGACAAATGCCACGTATCCCACTTATCAACCTCACAGCTAGCTCAATACAGTTGTACTATTATGGCACATTCGACAATTCGCATCATCAAGCTTGGAAACGGGCCGGTTTCAGGCCTAGAGACAGCTAGACGTTTTTTTTTTTTTTTTTNTGGCCCGTACCTACATTCGGACAAGTTAGAGCAATGCATTGAGTCTAATATTACCTATGTGGCATATAAATAGACTTAAGTCCTAAATGACATGGACAAACCCAAGTAAAAAAACTCAAAAGTTATTCAATGCAAAAATAAAATACTAGGTCTAGCATACATGTCAACCAATGAAACTCAAATTTATTAAAAGAAAAATTAAATTAAGAATAAATGATGAGTGTTTGGGTTTGTACTTGAGTCCAAAATAGACCCAAGTGTGGACTTGGTCTCATTTTTTTATTGCCACATAAGCTAGACCATGTCCACTTTTAATTGCATTGTGAGACATTTTTTTATACACTAGGTCTATTTCCTATGTGACATATGATATTTTATTAAGAGACCCAATGCATTGTGGGTGCTCTTATGGGCACATGTTTTCAGGCCCGGTGACTCACCAGGCCGGACCCGGACCGCTAAATGGCCATGTCTAGCTTGATTGTGTTGTACCTTAATCAGTAAAAAAAAAAAAAACCCGCCCAAAATTACAGCCGCCGCGGTAAATCACGATTCACCAGTTGTACCCTCCATCCATATCGTTTTCATCAATTTAATTGCCTCGAAAATTTTCCAACTGTTCGAACAAAACAAAGAAAATGAGAAAGAAACCTCACATGATATGCTGATGCACGCATGATTTGACATATACCGACAAATTAACTCAATTCAAGCCGTTTGATCATAATTTCGATTTGTGCTCTTACCCTTATGTCTTAATCTTAAAATCTCCAATCCTCAGAGACTGAAAGAGGTATTAGGGTTTTTACCGATTCCATTTGAGCAAATTCAGTTTCATTCTTGGTTCAAGCAATTCTGATTTTTGTTGTTATGATTGTTCAGTAGCTGATTCTGGTGATTGTACGTGTTTAATCTTCTTTAATTTTATCTGAGATGATGTATTATGGAGTTAAAGGGTTTGGGCGGCTATTATTTGGTGAAATTGAATATGTGTCTTTTACTGTAGCTGCTGGGTGTTGATTGTGATGGTTTTCAATTTTTGTATTCATCTGAGCATCTTTGGCATCGAATTTGGATCGAGTTCCTAATATCAAACGAAAACGAAAAAAAACAAAATGAGCTTTAGCTATGTTGAGCCTGACCAAGTTTTTGAGTATGAAGTAGATAATCAAGGGACTGAACAAACATGATGTATTCTCTAGTTGCTGGGGTTCGATTTGTTGCTTCAAGAAGCATTTAATTTTTTGACTCTATTTGCTGATTTCGTTTTCGTAATGGTTTGAAATATCGTGGATTTTTAGGTTAATTATGGGTGTTGCATGTTGCACAAATACTATTTTGATGTGGAGGAGTCTAGAGATTGGAATCAGTATATTTTAGTGGTCTTCAGTAATAGTGTCGGTTATAACCTGTAATTCCTACATTATATTTTATCTTCGATTTTTCTGCTACACTAGATTCTACGTAAGACACGTAAAATGCGTTTTTTGTTTCTTTAACCCTTCGACTTGTGTGACATCACTTGAGCTACCTGCTTGATAGGCCCCTTTTCCTCTAATTATTTGAGTTATACATGTTCACTTGAATTTACTTCTCTTACATATCTTGAAGAAAGAGTGAAACTATCCATTCCCTTGTTTTCTTGATTAGGTTTTCGAAGGAACTTCTGGAGTTGACAATATACAACTGTCCACTTTACTGGGGAGGTACAGTCATTTAAAATTGTTCTTATCTCTCTTTATGGTTTTTTTACCCGCGGAGGTAGCGGGTAAACAGAGTTTACATCCCCATTCTCTGTCTAAACAGAGTTAGAATATAGAAAAGAAAAATTTAGTGGGCACATATGATTTTCTTACAAATAAAAATGATTACACTATTGCTTTTGTTGTTACTTCAGTTAATGAAGTATATGAACTTAACTGTCCAAGTATTTTGGTACGTTTAGTGATTGATTTGCAGAACATGCATGATTTTTAGGACACTTGAACATGGAATTGCAATTAGTGTGTTGCTCATGTTATGATTGGTAATTTGCTTGCATATGACACTTTACTTGTTCTCTGACCTATTATGGTTCTTCACTTAGTTCAAGATATAGGAGTCGAGTCTAACGTAATCATTGGTGCCGTACTTTGTATTTCATATTAACTTAATCCTAATGCAATTTCATTTTTGTTTTTGTACTTTGTCCTTTTAGATTCTTCTCATATTAGAATTTTACCACAACTTGTTTACAGGTTTTCAAACCACCTGTATCTTTGTAGAACCCATTGACAATGGTCCTGTTTGTTTGTTTTGTTTTGTTTTTTTTTTCTTTTTTCTTTTTTTTCTTTTTCTCTGTTTAAGCTTGGGTTTTGAAGCTGTATGATTTTAATATGCTGTTTTTTTCGACCATTTTCTTTTCCCATCTTCTAAAAGCATACACTTTAACCAACATGGTACTCTGGACAAAATTGTGTAAGAGGAGATCAGTACTTCATGACATAATCTTATTGATAGCAATAAGATAATCATTCTCTGTCTTCTATGATTGGTTATGAAAACATGATGTAAAGATGTGAACTAGTAGCCCTTGTAACACCAGCACATACTAAAACCATGCATGGCTTTCTCTTTCGATTTTCATTTACTTCATAAATTTCTAAAAATTTTCTTTCCTTACGCCCCTGTTAATCCAGGCATTTTCTACTTCTGCTGATAAAGTCAATCAATAAAAAATTCCAGTATGGATGAAGTCAACCATTACACTGTTTTGGGCTTACCGTCCGGCGAGGAAAGTGCCGGGCTTACCGATCAAGAGATCAACAAAGCCTACCGATCGAAGGCCCGCGAGCTGCATCCCAACAAGAGGCCTAACGACCCTAATGCACACGCCAATTTTCTTAAACTCCAGACCTCGTATGAAGTCCTCAAGGATGAAAAGGCTCGGAAATTGTTCGACGAACTACTCAGAGTGAAAAAGGAAAAGCTCAACCGTAAGGGGCAACAAGATTCCAAGCGCAGGAAAATGATGTCGGATCTCGAGGAAAGAGAGAGATCTGTTTTCTCCGTGGACCCCACCGTGAGAGCTCGGGAGGAGGAAGAAATGATAATAGCCCAAAAGCTGAAGGATGAGATCAGTAGTTTGGTGGTGTGGAAGATGTGGTCATTAAGAGCTCTAAGAAGAAAGGGTCGGCTCTTGTGGTAATGGCGTCCAAGGATGGTGCCGTAAGTTTTGACCTAATTTGATCTCTGTTTTTTCGTTAATCTTTTTTTTTTTTTCCTCTTTCTCTAAGAAAAATTTTTATTGGCAGGTTGCTACTATTGGGAATGTGTTGGGTATCTGTTAGTTTTGCCTCTACAACCGGTCGCTTTTAGTACGGAGAAAAATGAGGCCGATGGCCCAAAACTGAGCAATCTTGTTGGTGATGGATGTCAAGCACGCGAAGATTCGATTCTGAAGAAAATGAGAAAGGTCTGGTCTCGTAAATCAAAATTATCTTTTTTATTATAATTTTTTTTCGTGTTGGAGATATTCTTTTCTCATCTTACTGGTATTTGCAAGTTTCTTTTAAACATTTTTTTTTCCTCCTATGGCGACAGGCTGCTGCACAGAGGCAGAAGTGTGACACCTGAGATGAAGGAAGGCTATACATTTTACGGGTTTCACCAGTTTTCGAAAACAGGTAACAATATGGAAAAAACTGTATACTTTGCAGTAGCTATCGACTGAAAGTGCTCAGCCTGCTGATGACAATCATAGGGTTCTTCGAATCTTCATATTTCGTACATATTCAAATTCTATTTTCTACAAACAAATTAACTCTGCTCTAAATTTGTGATATGCTTAAAATCTCACCAAATTTGGAAGAGATTTCAAGAAATGTTAGATTTCTTTCTCAGTTCAAAATTTTGTGATTTTTAGATTGATTTCTGTTAGTCCCTGCTCGTCTCTATTTGCAGCTAGGATGCACTGTTTGGGTAAGCAAAAATGCTTCCCGGCACAAACTGACACTTTTAGGATAGAAGAAGAAGATGTTGAACAACTCAATGTATTGAGTATTCAGTTTTTGTTGTGTGTTTACAAATAAAAACGGTACCCCTATTTATAAGAACTAAAAGCAACTATCCTAGTGACTTTCCTAGAAAATACATAAGTTGAAAAATCAAACTAAAGTGGCTGCCATGAAAGTGCTATGCAGCTGCAATGAAAATGCAATGAAAGTGTAATGAAAATGCAAGGAAGTTGCACTTCACTAACAAGAAAACTGCAGGATTATCTCTTAGAACTGCTCTTGCTTGTTTCCCACCATTTCAATCTTGGTCCTCAGCTCTATGAACCAAAGACGGTCGAGTGGCTTAGTAAGGATGTCTGCGAGCTGCCGTCCGGATTCGACAAACTCCAAAACAATCTGTCCTTCATCGACACAATCCCGGATGAAGTGAAAATGGGTATCGATGTGCTTGCTCCGGTCATGAAGGACTGGATTTTTTGCAAGGGCAATGGCGGGCTGGTTGTCCACCATCAGAGCTGGTGGACGAGCTTCCTCGCCGGTCAGCTCACCCAGCAACCGACGCAGCCAGACCGCCTGGCACGCCGCTGTGGCTGCTGCCACGTACTCTGCTTCGCATGTAGAGAGTGCCACGATCTTCTATTTCAGCGACTGCCATGAGATTGGGGCCGATCCAAGGAAGACGAGCACACCGGAGGTGCTCTTCCGCTCATCAATGTCGCCTGCCATGTCTGCATTGCTGAAAACCGTGAGCCGCAGCCCACTTCCGCCGCCGGTCTTGGGAAAGATGATGCCCTGGTCTACCGTCCCCTTGACATAGCGCAACAGCCGCTTTACCGCAGCCCAATGATCCTCTCGGGGGTCCTCCATGAAGCGGTTGACATACCCCACGACAAATGCGATATCTGGCCTCGTGTGGACTAGGTAGCGCAACCCGCCGACGATACTCTGGTAGAGTGTTGCATCCACCTTCCCCGCGGTGTTGGCTTTCGTCGGCTTCAGCCGCTCCTCCATAGGAGTCGCGCATAACTTGCAGTCAGCCATGCCGCTCCGCTCCAACAGCTTCCCCGCATACGCACGCTGGCAGAGAGTGATGGAGTCTCTCCCCTGCTTCACCTCGATGTCGAGGTAGTAGGAAAGCTGCCCGAGATCGCTCATGCGGAAACGAGCTGCCATCTCGCGCTTGAAGCCGTTGATGTCCCCTTCTCGTGCCCCGGTGATGATCAAGTCATCCACATACACGCCGACGACGAGCTCCTCCTTCCCCCGTCATCGCGTGTAGAGCGCGTGCTCTGTTGCGCAGCGCGTGAACCCAAGCGTACTCAGAGTGGCATCGAGCTTGGCGTTCCACGCTCGCGGGGCTTGTTGCAACCCATAGAGTGTCTTCCGCAACCGTAGTACCTTGTGCTCCTTTCCCTTGACGACGAAGCCCGGGGCTTGCTTGACGAAGACAGTCTCCGCTAGCTCGCCGTTGAGGAAGGCCGATTTCACGTCCAGGTGATGAATGCGCCAGTCCTTCGCTGCCGCCATGGCTAGCAGTAGGCGAATTGACTCCATGCGCGCCACTGGTGCAAAAACTTCCTCAAAGTCAATGCCCTCTCGCTGGACGAAACCGCGAGCAACGAGGCGCGCCTTGTGTTTGACTATGGTGCCACACTCGTCCCGCTTGACCTTGTAGACCCATTTGAGCCCGATTGGATGTCAGCCTGGAGGTGGATCGACGAGCTCCCACGTCTCATTTTCCTCGATCGCCGTCATCTCCTCTAGCATAGCTCGTCTCCAATTGACATCGCCCTCGGCCTGCGCGAAAGTCGATGGCTCCTCTGCGCTGACGAGGAGCAGCTCCTGATTGTCGAGTAATCGGCTCGCCAAGCCTGGTACAGCCGAGTTGCCAACGAGGTTGTCCATCCGGCGAAACCTCACCCCCTCGCCGTCGTGGAAGGCATCCACATACTCGTCGATGTCGCTTGAAGGAGAGGTGAACCTAACTGTCCTGTCGCTGGAGGTGTCCCTTGTCCTGCCGCAACAGGGGACTGTGGGGGCGTGTGCGCAGCCGCTGGTGGACTCTTCGGCAGTGCCCGCCATGGCTGGACTTTGGGGCTCATCCGAAGCTGCCACAGCTGCTGGACTTTGCGCGTCCGCAGCTGGCTCCTCTACTCCCGCATCTCCTCCTCCGTGGATCACCAAATGCTCGATGACGAATGTACCGCCGACGCCACGGGCTTCCCCCGTGCCAGGATTCTCCCAATCCCAGGCCGCCATTTCGTCGAACACCACATCCCGCGAAACCACCACCTTGCCTCCACGTGGATCGTAGAGCCGATAGGCCTTGCTTCCCTCCTCGTAGCCTAGGAACACCATCGGTGTGCTCCTATCCTCAAGTTTGGACATGAAGGGCTTCGTCTTCTTCACATGGCCAATGCACCCAAACGTCCTTAGAAACGAGACGTCGGGCTGCCTACCATGTCAAGCTTCGAATGGCGTCATGCCCTTCAGGGCTTTCGTGGGCGCACGGTTGAGGATGAACACCGCCGTGCTCACAGCCTCTCCCCAGAACTCCGCTGGCATGCCTTTTGCCTTCATCATGCCTCGGGCCATGCCCACCACGGTTTGATTCCGCCGCTCCACTACGCCGTTTTGTTGCGGTGAGTACGGTGCAGTGTGATGGCGCACCACCCCCTGGTTTGCACAGTACGCGGCGAATTCCATCGATGTGAACTCGCCACCACGATCCGTCCTCAGCACGCGCAGCCGCTTCCCGGACTCTGCCTCAGCCCGCGCCTGTAACCGCTTGATTGTCTTTGCCGCTTGATCCTTACTCGTCAGGAGCTGCAGCCACATGAAACGGCTACAGTCGTCCACGAGCAACAGGAAGTAGCGCCTTCCGCCATGCGTAGCCGGCTTGATCGGTCCGCAGAGGTCGCCGTGGACGAGCTCGAGGACGTCCGCCGCACGATACTTGGCTGCCTTTGGGAAGGGTAGCCGCCTGTGCTTCCCTGCCAGGCAGCTGTCGCACAGCTCGCCTGCGTGCTCGATGTGCGGGAGCCCGCGCACCATCTTCCTCAACCGGCCGAGTGCGTCGAAGTTGCCGAACCGAGCATGCCATAGCCATGGCTCCTCGGCCTGTCGTACAGCCAAACACACTGGTTGCCTCTACCTTCAAGTCGAGGAGGTAGAGGCGGTTCCGGAAATGCTGGATAATGGCCAGCAGCCGCTGTTCTCGGTCGCGGAGCTTTAGCACTCCGTCTTTGACAAGCATCTCGCAGCCGTGCTCGTCCAGTTGCCCGATGCTGACGATGCTTGAACGCAACTGCGGGATATAGTACACATCCGTCAATGCACGGTGCTCGCCTTCTGGCACCGGAAGATGACGGTGCCGCGACCTCGAATCTCCACCTTCGAGCCGTCGTCGAACTTCACCGTCCCCGTCACGTCGTCATCAAGCTCGGAGAAGGCCTCCTTGGTGCCGATCATGTGGTTGCTGGCGCCGGAGTCTAGGTACCACCTCTGCTCTATGCCACCGCCCATTCGTCCAAGGTGGACTTGGGCACTTGACTCGTTGAGGTGAACGGCCTGCAGTGACTTCCCCTGCTCTGTAACCGTCGCCTTGACTTCCTCCAACTCTGGCTCGACGTCGTGCAACTTATAGGTCGTTGCCATGAGAAGAGCTGGCTCCTCGTCGTCCACCTGCGCGAGGTGCGCCTCCCTCTTCTCCTTTTTGGGATTCTTGCAATCCCGGTCCCAGTGCCCTGTCTTCCCACAACGTCGGCAAGTGTCCTTGTCGATCGGACGCACGTTGTCGCCGTCATTCTTCTTCTTCTGCGGGGCCTTGCCACGACGCTTGCCGTAGCCGCCACGGCTGAAGGAGCCTTCCCCGGGCCGCCGCTCGCGCATACGAGCCGCCCATTCTTTCTCGGTCAGCAGTAACTTGCCGCTGGTAGTTATCGTCGCCATCTCCCCACGATCATCCACCGCCCGCAAGCGCCCAGTCACATCCTCAATCGTGAGAGTGGACATGTCGATTAACGTCTCGATGAAGAGCGCGATCTGGGAGTACTTAGGCGGCACGACACGCAAGTATTTCGCGACCGCCTCCTCTTCGGTGATGGTGACGTCGTGCGCCGCCAACTGACTGACGAGCGACTGTAGACGGAGCGAGAAATCCTCCACTGCCTCGCCGTCGCGGAACGCCAGCGCCTCATACTCCCGCCGCAGCTGCTGCGCCTTCGCTTTCTTTGCGCGATCAGACCCGATGCGCATGGCCTTGAGGGCGTCCGAAGCAGCCTTTGCGGAGTCCTTTGTGCCCAGCGACTCCACGTACTCGTGAGGAACAGCGGACAGAATCGCTTCCATCCCTGCGCAGTCCTCTTCTTCATCCTCGGTGCCTTCTTCGATGGCCCGCCAAAGCTTGCGCGCACGCAACTTGACCTTTATCAGCACCGCCCACTCGCCATAGTTTGTGCATGTGAGGACCGGCCAGTTTGCCCCGCCAACGTCCCGTACGGTCCTGTGGATGATGACCTCTTGGCGCGGTGAAGCGTGTGCACCGCTCCCTTGCACCGTCGACGCAGCATCTTGGCTTGCCATGGCTCTGATGCCACTTGTTAGTCCTGCTCGTCTCTATTTGCAGCTAGGATGCACTGTTTGGGTAAGCAAAAATGCTTCCCTGCAGAAACTGACACTTTTAGGATAGAAGAAGAAGATGTTGAACAACTCAATGTATTGAGTATTCAGTTTTTTGTGTGTTTACAAATAAAAACGGCACCCCTATTTATAAGAACTAAAAGCAATTATCCTAGTGACTTTTCTAGAAAATACATAAGTTGAAAAATCAAACTAAAGTGGCTGCCATGAAAGTGCTATGCAGCTGCAATGAAAATGCAATAAAAGTGTAATGAAAATGCGAGGAAGTTGCACTTCACTAACAAGGAAACTGCAGGATTATCTCTTACAATTTCCACAGACTTACATCAATTGATACATTGTATCAGGTCAAAGTATAGTAAGTTCATCCAATGACCATAACTCGAGCCTAATCATTTCCATCAACGAGCTCCTATCGACCTCTAAGCCTAATTGAACTGCGTGCCCTCATGAACCAGATTCCAGACTTGATTGAAATTCGATTTTAGGTGGCTGCAGATATAATTGAGCAACATAACCTGGAATATTGATGGAAGAAGCTATATTCTACATTGAGAATCATTGAACCGAACTTAAAATGGGAGAAAAAAAATAAATAAAAAAATAGGCGTGCTTCCACCTGAAATTGTCACTCTTCAAAAGAATCAAAAAACTTCCATTTTCAATCTTATTTTCCTTGGGAAAAAAAAATCTTATTTTCCACTTGTCGATGTTAATTAGTTTGTGTTTGTGGATGTATTGTTGTTTAGTTGTGTGAGTTCTAGGCGACCTTCGGGTTTGTCCTTCCACTAGGTTCAGTTCTATAGCTGCTTGAGTATGCTATTTGGTGTTTTCTGGTTGTAATTATGTGTTTATTTAATAACTATCATTGGAATTTCCATTTGAATATCCGTTGAAATTTTTATTAGAATATAATACTGTATAATTTTTTGTTGGAATATTGCAATTTATTGTAGTGTTTCTTTCTCTTGCGATTATCCTCCCTTTTGACGGCGGGAAGGTCATGACTGGGGAAGTGCCGTGCGGAGGTTCGTATGGCAGATAACGGTGGGAATCGAAGATTGACGGCGATAGATTGATGGTTTTTGATGGCTTTTGGTAGATCCTATTGAAGGTTTTATTATTATTATTATTATTATTATTTGAATTTTTTTTTTTATCAAGTATACGAGAACATACCTCTGTGGAAGTTGTCCCTAGTGATTTCTTTCCGAAGTTTTTTTTTTGTAAAATATTGTTTCTGTCTCTTTTTGTAGCTGGTTAAACCTTCTTTCTCCGTATGGCTCTGTTGGCTGTACAAAATGTTGATTTGTTATTGAAATCTAAATGAAAGAATTAACTAACTTAAATTATAAATATGTTTAAAAGTTAATAATATTTTTATTCATTATCATATTTTTTATATAATACATTAAATAAATAAATTTATTTTTATTTATTGTAAAATTAAGTTGTCATTAATACTAATTAAAAATTAATAAAATTGTATATCAGTTCAAAAAGGCATTTATAAATTCATTAGATATAAATTATAAAAAATATTTAACATGAAACTAAAAATCTGTACAAGTATTTTATTAAATATAAATAAGAATGTAAATTTTTAAAAGTATTTGAAATTTAAATTAAAAACTTCTCCTCTTACATTTTCTTTTAGAAATTCAATATATTATTTTTAACTAGCACTCGTGTAATCGCGGGTGTTGTACTAGTAAATACATAGAACATGCACATATTTTGACATATCATGGTGTCGCAGACGTGACAGAGTGCTAGCGAGCGATTCCATTTGTTTTCGATTCTAACAAACTTTTGACTTCTATTTTTTTTTTTTCTCAGAACAATCGACTTTTATAGATAGAACACATAATTACAACTAGAAGTCGGTATCGAATTTAGTGGGAGAACATCCCAGAAGGGAGCCTAAACACTACAACGCACCCAGGATAATACCTAACTCTAAGTCTCAATGGGAGACTCTAGATCCAAAAAGATAATGCCACCCAAAAAATAAAGACAAAAATAGAAAAATCACACAAACACTAACTCAATAAAATATAAAATAAAGCCCTTTCCTAGGCCGGACAACTGCACCAAGCAAAACATGAAGGCGACACACGGACGACCACCTTAACGGACCTGTTCGAATTTCAAAACCAAAAACTGCAACACACGCGTAACTGGAACCAAAACCCAAGACCACGGGAAAGAGGTGAGATCCACTCGGAAACATCTACCAAACTCCACCCCGCGAAATGACGGGCATCGCCATCAAATTGGGGCCGAACCGCACTGCCAGGAACCAGCCGCTGTCAAGGAGCCCCACGGACTCGCCGAGGAAGGGGAGCTGGAAAAATGATAAAAAAAAAATTGAGGAAGAAATGAAGAGAGATAATTTTTTGGGGACTCTACCAACTTTTGAGTTACTACTCCATCACATATTAAATTTACAATTAGTTTCTTCTCCAACCTAAAATCTTTTGAAATTTAATTCTAAGTCTTTCATTTACAAAAGATAGAACCATAAAATTGGTAAAAAAAAAAAAAAATAATAATAATTTTTCCTACAAAAACAACGAATTGTTAACCAAATCGACACCGTGAACTAGATTCGAAACTGATTTTTCTGTCAAGTATTTAACTAACACAACCTGGCCATGGTCACATGAAATTGTCACTCTTCAAAACGTTCTTGTCAAACTTAATCTAACTACTCTTACACGAATTAAAAAAATATTCTGTCCCATTACTTTTTGTCCAGATCTTTTTGCACTTGTTACAAGAGAAAATTAAATNACCTTCACGTTCCACACCGCATTCGCTTAATTCAAATCAATTGCACGCAAAAAAAATTGGATGGATACGAAAAAAGTCCACGAAACAGAACACGCTCACGACGTGCAAATCAAAATTTGGGATTGCGCGTTGGCAATCATCCCACTAGCCGTGGTGAAATGCGCCATCGAGCTCCGAATCGCTGACGTCATTGAAACCCACGGTGGGTCAATGACGAACGCCGCGCTTTCCGAGGCCCTCGGCTGCTGCCCCTTCATCCTCCACCGCATAATGCGGTACCTAATGCACCTCGGTTTTTTCAAAAAGACGAAAATGCCCCTGGAGCTGTCCTGTTCTTATGTCCACACCCCCCTGTCTCGGGCCCTGTTGAGGAATACAGAGGACAGCATGGCGCCTCTCATCTTGCTCGAGAGCAGCCCGGTTATGCTCGGCCCGTGGCATAATATCGGGCCTTCGGTCTTGATAAACGGGCCCTCGGCCTTTAAGGTTGCCAACGGGGAGGATTTGTGGGAATACGCGTCGGCGAATCCCGTTCATAGCAAGTTGATTAACGATGCGATGGCGTGTCGGGCGAGGGTTGACGTGTCGTCAATCGTCCGTTGTTATCCGGAGGTGTTTCGGGGAATCGGGTCGTTGGTTGATGTCGGGGGTGGCGACGGGACGACCCTCCGGACGTTGGTCAAGGCGTGCCCGTGGGTCCGTGGGATCAACTTTGACCTCCCGCACGTCGTGTCCGCAGCGCTGTCTGTCGAGGGAGTCGAGCACGTTGCGGGTAATATGTTCGAAAGCGTTCCGAAGGCCGACTCAGTTTTTCTCATGGTAATTGCTTCTTTTTCGTTTTTAGGTCAATCTAGCTGAAAATTTAGTTGGTAGCTAATATAATAAATAAAAGTGTTGGCAAAAGTATATGATATGTTGATAACTCAGCTGAAATAAAAATTTGAAAAGTTATGTGATGAAGCTTATGAGATAAGTTTGGAGCATTTTTAAAACGCAAACCAATTTAATTTAATTACAATAAGCTTATAAACTAACTGAATAAGTTATCTGCCTAACAAGGTAAAATCAACTCTAATTGGTTTGGTAATGTAGTCGGTGTTGCATGATTGGAGCGACGAAGATTGCATCCTCATAATGAGAAAATGTCGAGAAGCGATTCCAAAGGAGACAGGTAAAGTCATCATAGCCGAAGCAGTTATAGTCGAAGGTGAAGAAGATAAGTACACCAATATACGACTTGGTCTTGACTTAGTGATGTTGGCTCACACGGGTAAAGGGAAAGAGAGGACCGTCGAGGAGTGGGAATATGTGGTGAGTGAGGCTGGGTTCGCCAACTGCACCGTGAAGCACATTGATGCGCCTATATCGCTGATCGAGGCTTATCCATGAGTCAACTTGTTCATTCTCGTCGGTTGTCGTGTTTAATGTTTGTGCTCTTTTTATATTTTTCCTCGTGTTTGAATGGTTTTATGCTCGTTTGTGTTTGATTCTGCGAACATAATTACGGATTTTGAATAAACCTAAGTTGTACAAGATGTGTTTGATTGACGATTGTAATGTATTTCATGGGTTGTGAAGCTCTGATTGTACAAGATTTGTTGTCAAGTGGTTTTCTCTGAAGTTTTGGTTGTGGGACATTATTGTATAAATATTTTTTGAAGAACCGAGTTGAATAATATCGATTTTGGTATACTTTCACGATTTATAAATAAATATAGCTTGCTTTTATCGCTTGTTTCTAATCATTAATGACCTACTGATGTATAATTTAATTCTTGACAGTCTTGTTATCATAATTTTGTAAAAATATTTAACAAATTATAGTAAATAATAAAGAGATAATTACTCAATAATAAATATTCAGAAGTTATCAAATAACTGGAGATTTACTTGATTTCATAATTAATGACCTACTGATGTAATTTCCTCAATTTTAATTAACTAAATATTTTCTGGGTTTTACCCAATAAAAGGGAGCCATCCTAGAAATTCTCTCGGGCCCAGGGTCAAGCCCAAATCTGACTAGCTGCGTCATTGCCTCAAGCACAAAGATGAAAACAATTGAAGAGCCCATATCCCATCTCGGGGTCCTGTTTGCCAAACATCCAAAGTGGGATTAAACTGACCAATTTAATCTAGAAACATGGGTGGGTCTTTTTTATTATTTTTTTTTTTTTAAAAAAACACTTTTTCAGATTTCCTTGTGTAATTTACAGACAAGAAGATCTTCAATTTATTTGTATTTTGTCGCCCACTTTTTAAACACATTCATCCATATTTTTCAAATTACAGATCATATTAACTATAGAATCATATCCCTGTCAATCCTCACTAAATAATATAAGCAAGTAAATTGCACCAAATCCCTGTGTTTAACAAAATGTGTTTCTTCACTGTGTTTTAAAAAATGCACCAGACTCCCTTGAGTTGTAAGTAACCGATGCACGTTCCCCCATTCCGTGCACGGTTCCCTTATTCCGTCCAAGTTAACCGCGCGTGTATGACACATTCTCTAGTTGCGAAATTTGTTTAATTTTTTTTTTTTTTTTTCGAAACATTAATAAGTCAATGAATATTAATCCAAACACTGTGGCAGAGCCACCCACGTGACGTGGCCAACCGCTCCTTGCCAGCTCTCATGCTGGCTATTTGAATTTGATATATGCTGCCTAATTTGTTTATTATATATATATAAATATAAATATATATGTATATGTTCCATTTCCAATCAATATCTATATCTATATTAAAAGTTTTGATTATTTTTTAAATAGTAACTATTTCCCTTAAAAAAATGTATTTACTATTTTTGAAAAATTAATTTAGTAATTTATGGTATATTTTAAATAATCAGTTATGGAAATTGCGGCTCATTATTTAAGGAAATAATTAAGCCATATAAAAATAGATTTTTAAGATACCTTAACTACTCAAATAAATTTAAAAAATTTATGGTATATTTTAAATAATCACTTTTGGTAAATTCATTTTTAAGATACCTTAATTACTCAAATCATGTGAATTGGTTGATCTACCCAAATATGGAAATTTCGGCTGCAATATCAATTATGTGATTTGGTTAAAAGAATTCCAGCTAAATTGTATAATTTATTATTTAATAAGTGTTTTATATTCTTAGTGTAATTCTTTTGTGAAATACATTTTTAATATACCTTAGTTACGTAAATCCGACTGATTTATTCAATTTGTAAATAATTACTACAATTATAGAAATATCGACAACAGTAATTAATTATGCAGTTCACAAAAAACTATTCTAAAAAATTGTGTTAATGATCATAATTGGTATTTAAATATTATCTAATAAATATTATTGATTTTTTGTGTATTTAATTGCTCAAATCGTGAATAATTAAGGAAATAATTAGACCATAAAAATTTACATTTGTAAGAATAGACCATAAAAATTTAAATTTTCACTGCGGGTCGTGTGCTAATTTTAAATAGACATGTTTCATATAATTTTGCACAATTTAAATTTCATATAACATTTTCAACAAATTAATATAGGTAATTTGTATTATATATTTATTCCATATTTTTAATTTAATAAATATTATATGCAATGAGTAATTGTAATTTATAAATATTAGTGAATATTTCTTACCCGTGCATCGCACGGGATTCGTACTAGTATATATAAAAATGTTTGATTATTTTTTAAATAATAACTATTTTCCTCCAAAAAAATCTATTTACTATTTCTGGAAATTAATTTAACAATTTATGGTATATATTAAATGATCACTTTTGGAAATTGCGGCTCATTATTTAAGGAAGTAATTAACCATATTTTAAGATACCTTAATTATTCAAATTATATGAATTAATTAATATAGGATATAAAGTTGGCGAATTTATTTTTGGTATTGATAATTGTTTCTATAGGAAATAAATTAATCAATATATGGTATAAATCGAGCAAATTTATTTAGGTCATTTGATGACTGTTTTTTAATAGGAGATTTGTTGAAATATTAATTAATATACGGTGTACTTTTTTCTAATGCGCAAGCTAATATATTAATTTTTAGGCGTGTATTTAAATATATGTTTTATTTCGTATGAAATTAACATAATAAAATTATCGTAACTCCGACAAAATAATATGAACGGATATTTTGTTATAATGTGCGTGTATCGATGTTTTTTTTATAGAAAAACTCTTGTCATTTTTTCTTGTATAATTAGTGGGTCTCAATTTAATTTATTTTTTGTTACGACATTTCAAATAATTTTTGTGAGAAATGCACTGTTCATTTGTTTAGCATAATAAAGAGTGTCGAGTTTTTTGGCATAAAAAATCTTATGACTAATTGCTTTTACTCAACTACTTAATTTTTTTGATTTGGATATTTTATACAAAAATAAATTCATTTTAATTAATTAAACAATATATTTTTTATATTTATACTTATTATTCACATAGGTTTTTTAATATATGATAAAATTTTACCAAAATAATTATTTTATGAAATCACATTATAGTGAAATCAAATTTGTGAATAAAATTTTTGAAATGACACATACTGTGAAATGATATAATGTAATATATTATAGTTATGTGCAACGCACGGGATGCGTACTAATTTTAAATTGACACTTTTATGTAAGTTTGCACAATTTAAATTTTATATAACATTTTCAATAAATTATATAGTACAATTGTCTTACATATTGATTTCATGTTTCTAATTTATAAATATTATTTTATAAAACTTTTTGATTATAATTATTAATTAATATCTCTTATCCGTGCATCTCACGGGATTCGTACTAGTTCATATCAAATAAGTTATAGATAAAATATCGGGACGGTACTAGCTAGGCCCTGTGTTGACCGGCCGAGTCACCTAGGTCAATAACATATAAACTGTAAAACAGTCCAAAATTGCTCGAATGGCCGTAGCTTGACTCTTTTGACCATGTTTCGGGTCAACCGACCCGCTGGGTTGGTTAAAGTAATTAGCTTCACACATAACTTATGTGTGAAGCCCAATTAATTAGTAGGGAAATTACAGTTTTTTGTTGCTAAAAGTTGTGGCCATGTATTTTGTGTTCTTTGAGGTATAAGCTAAGGTTAGGTTAGGAGTAAATATGATGCTTGTTTACTAGCCTTATGGTGTATTAGAAGGAACATCAAACCAAACTGTAACAAGTAAGATTAACAAAGTTTTGTTTATAACTTTCTATTTCAGTATTTTATACGGATAAATTTCACTTCTGTAAATAAAATACGTGTCATTGCCCCATTAAAATTTCAACTATATAGTCTGGTATTTTTATAAATTAATTATATAATTGCTAAGTGACTTGAAGATTTGACTCGTTTGTTTATTTGCTTGATTGGTGCTAAATTAATGAAGACTGTATTTAGATGTGTAACCAATTTGAATTGTTTGATTTACTTTTGCTATGAAACCAACAGTGGGGTCTACTATGGTAACAATCTTATTTGATTAATTTTTTAACTCAAAATGCTAATTTTGAAAAAGCTCAAAAGAGTACGTTTTTGGAAAAAATGATTAAAAAAGGTGAACAATTATAAATTTTTGCTATTTATCAAATGATTACTTGACAAACCTCTAATTAAACTAGCTAATACAATTCGCTATCCACTATTTATTAATAAAATCAGCTAGCAGGTAATAACTAAATAAGACCAATTACTTATAAGTGTAAACGAGCTTGAACTAATTAAACTAGTTAATATAATAGGTTGCCCATTGTTCATTAATACAACTAATTATCAGTTAATTATTTAAAAACCAATTACATCCACGTGTAAATGAGCTGAGCAAAGCTCGAGCTCGGCTCGAATCCTTATCAAATCGAGAGCCTTCGTGAAAAAATTACAAAAAATTACATAAATATCACAATTTCAAGTTTTAAGTTATAACGACTAGTTGTGCTTGACAAACGAGCTCAATCAAATAAAATCGTTTCGTTTAATAATACTCTAATTAAATCATACAACCATATTATATGGATAGCTGACTCCTCAAACAATAAAATTACACTTACGTTTCTAATAGATTAAGTTATTCAATCTACAAGTAATGATAATTAAATATAATAGATAAAAGCAACGAAACTTCTCCACCTGAAAATGATTCAAATGAATGTTCCAACTACCTAACATTATTGTCAACCGGCAGCACACACACTGTTATAAACCGAGAAAACAAAGAAAATTCATATCATTAATTTTACATATATAAAATAAGCTCCAATCTTGAGCGTCAATGGCCGCGGCCACCGCCGTATTCTCTCTCCTCTTCACATTCCTTCCGCCGCTCCTCTCCGCCGCGCAACCCACTCCCTACCTCTCCCCCGTCGCCTTCCTCCGCGACTACCAAAACATGCTCTCATCTTTCAAAATTTTCATCTACGCCCCCACAAAACCCTTCAATTTCCCCGGCGGCCCCTCCGCCCTCTTCTACGGCTCGCTCCTCCGCAGCCCCTTCCTCACCGGAGACCCCGAGGAGGCCCACCTATACCTCGTCCCATTCTCCCCCGGCACCCCCACGCGCTCCCTGGCGCGCGTCGTCAGGGAAATCCGGAACAATTTCCCCTATTGGAACAGAACCCTCGGCGCCGACCACTTCTTCGTGTCCCCCGCCGGAATCACCTTCTCCTCCGACAGGAACGTCCTCGAGCTGAAGAAGAACTCCGTCCAGATCTCGGATTTCCCCGTCGTCTCCGGCAATTTCGTCCCGCATAAGGACATCGCCCTGCCTCCGGCCGGCAAAATCGAGATCGGTGAAGCTGCAGAAAAACTCCCGCCGGAAACTCGATTTCTGGGCTACCTGAATTGGGACGGCGAGACCCGATCGGACTTGGTCAGCGAGCTGGCCGCCGACTCTGACTTCCTAATCGACGAGAAGCCCGAGCCGGAGATCTACGCGCGCGGGGTGCGGGCGAGCAGGTTCTGCCTGTTTTTCCACGGCGGCGCGGCGCCGCGTCTGGCGGAGGCGATGGCGACGGGATGCGTGCCGGTGGTACTCGTGGACCGGCCGGTGCAGGATCTGCCGTTTATGGATGTGCTGCGGTGGTCGGACATGGCGGTGGTGGCGAGGGTGCCGGCCGGCGGCGGCGGGAGGCTGAGGGAGCTGCTGGGTGGGTTGAGCGAGGAGAGGTACTCGGAGATGAGGGGATTGTGTGCGGCGGCGAGCAGGCATTTGGTGTGGAACGAGGAGCCTCGACCGTTGGATGCGTTCCACGTGGTGATGTATCAGCTATGGGCGAGACGGCACGCCGTTAGATACGCGCGGCGGGAGTTTGTATAGAGGATTAGGATAATTGGATAAAATTTTTAGTAATAAAAGGAACTGCGAGTCTGCGATTCAGGAAATTTGTGCGTGTATGAAGTTATGAACTATGAACTGTATATCTATACTTTGGTTAATAATAATGAAGGTGCGTTTTAATAATTATTACTGTTTTCATTTTCATGTTAGATTTAGATTTAGATTATGAATTAGTTTATTCTATTAATTAGTGATATATTATCGAGCGTCTTAATTAATCAACAATCTTTCAATTCATAATCTTGGTTTCCTACATTGAATCCACATAATTTTCTTCAGCTTCTTCATTTTTGTGGCTTTGTGATTCCTAAATATTTTGATCAGAAGAGAGTGAGAAAAATGGGCGAGAAGAAGAATACGACGATGAAGGGAATAAAACTCTACACAAAAGCACACCAACTCCAAATACACACAAGAACCCATGCCAACAATTTCATCATAAGAAAGCCTTTCCCCCTTCTAGTCGAGGGAAATGCTATTTGGGGATTGACTGCACTGCCTCCTAGGAACATGATCGAATTTTCTGTCAGCTGGATGCCGATTTCATGTAAAAAAATACTCTCTCCTATTTTAAATATTTGTCATCCGAGTTATCAATACATTAATTAAGAAATATTTTTCTTTCCAAGTTTAACCCTATTTAATGACACAATTGTGGATGGATGTTCTTGGGAATATGAAGGGACAATGGGCATTGATGGAGGGGTTAAAGGGAAAAATATGAACAAAATAGCCAAAACGTCATTTATTTAACAAATGATCAATTAAGCTAGAATGACAAATATTAAAAATAGGAGGGAGTATGTTTTAAAAATGAATCGTTATTGATTGATGATGAATTGCCATATATTGATGATGAATATTCAAATTCAATCAATGGGTCCCTTGATCTTCTAATTTTAGAAACTCATATTTTCTTATATTTCTAGTTTTTAACTTGTACTTACTTTGTAAAAATTTCAAGGTTTTGATCCGGGAGTCACAGAGACCTGACCAAATTTGTACACGCTTGGTTCGACTATTTTAACAAATCAACAAACGTAAACGAGCTGTTCGCAATTATGGTCGACTAGATTGTTCATTTATAACCTATTAAAAAAATAATAGAGTCCTTCGCAAACAAGCTCGACTCGACTCGTTCAACAAACGAGCGACTAATTATTCAAGCTTGTTTTAGTAAACAAACGAACTAATCTCGAGTTTTTACTAGCTTTCTTCGCAAATAATTTAGTTCGAATGATAAATGAAGGATTTTGTTTTTTTAAAAAAAGAAAGAATTTTATTTGACTTTTATTGAAAAAGAAAAAAACAGTTAAATTGCGATTTAGGACCATGAAAAATCTTGTTCTATTTGGGATAAACTAAAGCAGATGATTACCAGGTCATCCACACTTATTCACCAATAGTGTATTAACAAGTGTTCTGCAATAAATACACTTTGGACAGCTGTCAATATATTAAGTGATGAATGGCTACATAAGAAAACCATTCGATGACTTCATAAAATTTTTATACCTATGATACTTCGCACGTCTAACCCTTCGAAGGATTTTGTGGTGGCCGTTACTTGGAGCCTACGTGATAAACCCTAAATCCCCAAATAAAACTCCCCTTCAATTGCGTGTGCATCAAAATCCAATCGCAATTCGCAGGCGAGATAAAATTTCACACATTCTCCTCTCAATTTCTTATTTTTTTCGAACTGAAACAGAGTATGGGCTTGAAGAAGAAGAAGATGAATAAGAAAGAACGAAAATCATCCCAAAATAAGGTCGGAGGGCGGGAACAACAAACGCCGTGGCCAAATCTCCCCTTCACCGGCGATGCATTCCGGCGGCGGCAGAAGATCATAATGGACCACATATCCGGCGCCGGCGGCGTCACCAAGTCATGGGTCCAATCCTCCCCTTGCAATTTCAATCAGCCGTCTAAACAATCAGCACCGCCGCAGGTTGTCCAAATCGACATCCCTCCCGTCATCAAACAAACCCCCTGTTGAAGATGACGCATGCCCACTTCTATTTTTTATTCTATTTCAGTTTTTCCTTTATTTTCTATTTCTCGTGTTTTACTTCAAGAGACGTGTTTCCTTTTTCCTTTTGTTTTTGTTTATTGCTTGTTTTGTTTTAAAGACACGTGTACGGTTGTGATATCTCTCCAACGACATTGTTGTTGGGCCTGAGATATTTGTGTGTCTTCGTCTTCAGTTTGTTCTAGACTTTTTGTATTTTTTTGATTAATCGACTAATGAAAATGAGAGGCTGATTCTCTCGCAAATCCCGAGCTCAATTTTATTTTCGCCAATTCACATGGTATCAAGAGCAAGGCTAGATCTATTTTGAAATGGCGACCACTAGGAATACGGCCAATTGGCCGCTGTTGAATGCCGGAGATGGCAAACCAAATTCTTCCAGATCCAATTCCTGTTGGGTTCGCTAGTACCGTACGGGCTTTAAGCAGCGGAATTTAAAATTTTTCAAAGTAAGTATTTATCGTATAAATACAACACCCATACATACTAATTGCGAATTAACTGATCGTCATCTTTAAAACATGCATCATATACAAATTTTGATTTGTTATATAAAAGTAAATACCAGTACAAATATTTACCGATTTGTCTTGAACTCCTTCACAAACGATGAACTTGAGGGAATCGGTTCCCGGTTTGATAACTTCAACGGATTGAGGTTACTCGCTTGAGGAACCCAAGTGTCTTCCCTCTAACAGTATCCAACCTATGAATCCCGGTTCCGACGACCTTCCTTCGCTAGTAGGAATGACTCGGTTTTCTCGTATAGGAATATGTATGAATTTTATTTGGAAAAATTTCAAGAACTCTTTCTTGATGTTTATGAAGAACTCTTCTTCTTTCTAACACTTAGAAATTTTAGGAATGAATTCACCTCTAATGCAAAACCATTTTGCACATATTTATACTAAACATTTTAGCATAAAATAATCAATATTTAGTAATATTTAAATAAAATCTGATTTTATTTAAATACAATTACTAACTATTGACTTTATATATATTAAACAATGTGAGGTGGTTCATAACCACCATTAACCACCATTTATTATATTCATAATNNNGNNTNNT